AATAAAAATTGTATCAGTCAGTATCAACTTTAATTTAACTTATTTTGAATTGAGAGTTGAAGAAAAAAAAAATGAAAGAATTAGAAATAAAGTTAATCTTGAATCCTAAATATTGTCAAGAAGGTGCATGGGATTTTAAGAAGAAGAAAAGAGCGCTTGTTAATTTTTGACTATTTTTAGATCTTTTCTATATTTTCATTGAACTATATAATTTAAAATTTTTAACTCTCATTCCAATTTTGAGAGAAACATCAAAAGAGCAATGCTTCGCTATACGAATCTGTGGGATTTAAAAATTCATTATTTGCTTACAATTAGATTTCGCATGAAAAAATTAATAATTCTGCGTTTAAAAGGGGGAGCGTTGCAGATAACGGCGCACAGCAACACGCCAGCCGGCAATGGTAATTAAATCGTTATTGTGAGGCAAACAACAAAGATGAGGAAGGAAAACGTAATTTATGGCGGGCGCAAAAAATGGAGCGAAACTTGCTCTTCTTCCTCTCCGTGTGCGGCAACGAACCGCTCTCGCGGCAAACTTGCTCGGCGGCCAAACAAAGTTTCACTCTTGGAAAGATCCGCGAGCAAGCGAACAAAGTCTGCGTGTAATTGGCATTCAAATATACAATTAGCCATTTAATTATTTTATAAATTCCCGCACCTAGCGCGCGTGTTGGGGTGCGGCCCGACGAGCTAGTCAGGGCCATTAGCAACATTTGGCGGCGCAATAATCCGCCCGCCCGCCGCACCATAATGCGTATTTAAAAAGAATTTGGCCACATCTGGGTCATATTGTGGCACAAATGAATCGATATTCGCTCGTCGTCCTCGTCGCAAGTAATTGAGCTGGTAATTGAAAATTGGCGTGCGATCGCAACTTCTGACCCGCGAGCCAATAACACTGAAGCATATTAAACATCACATTCCACCGATATGGAATTAACTCCCACGACGCCTGGTATGATTGCATTATGAAAATGAACTTGGACAAAAGAGGTTCTCTGGGCAAATGATAAATTAACGAGGAGAAAAAGCGCGTGCTTTAAATAGAACACAATAACTTGTCATTGATTCTCCATTTTTATATTGCAGAGAGTTATTTTTACTTTCAATGTAATTTACGATTGTTAATCAATTTAATTGTATTGCTTTAAATAAAATTGTGGTCGAGACAATACAGAAACGTAAAGATAATTCAGTGAAATTTGTTGAATGTGTTTAGAAAATTGCATTTGGTAAATAATTATTATTGTTGTTTATGAGCCCAAATGTTGCAGAAAAATCACATATTGACAAATTATAAAATTTATCTATGAAAATCAGTTCATTATTAACTATTATATCTAAAAATTTAAAAGCCATTTGGATGATGAAACGGAAAGTGATAAAAATTTGACGTCCCACAGCAAAACTATAAAAAACTCAAAAGTTTCTGAAAGGGTAAAACACGAATTAATTCTGTTTCCTGTCTGTCTTTTGTTTGTATTGAAGTGGTGAAAGATGAGGATACAAATTTCACGGTCTTTTCAAACGAAAGTGAAAGAATAAAGTTAAAACCCATCTGTTTTGAGGCTTCTTGCTGCACCTCATCAACGGAAGATGGATTTATGTCTGGATGTTTTTATTGCCAGCACTGCAACAGAACCAAGAAAGTTCTTCAGCAGGCACATTTATAAACAAAAATAAATAAATATTAATAATTATTTGCTTTGTTAGACTTTTGGCTTGATATTTATTGCAAATGATCCATATCCATGGGCAGTACTTATTTATTAATTTGATTCTCTTACGTTTTAATTTAAATGAATTTTAATGAGACTAATGAGGACCTAGAATCCTAATTTAAGGAAACCTGGAAGTTTTTAAGTGAAAATCTAATACAGATCATAGGATGTATACAAATTTAAATAACATTATTTGGATATTTATTTATTTCAAAACAATTTCACATAGTTAAATTATTGACGTAATAAAGTGCCTACATAATATATTGAAAAATTATTAAGTTTTTCAAAAAAAAAAAAAAATAATTAATAATTGTCTGCTAGATTAATAATTAATGGAAGTTAAAATTATTATATAACATTTTAAATGATATAGAAATACTATCTATATTTATTAAATACTTTGTATTTATTTTACAATAGTATAAAGGTCTTTGTTAAAACTTTTCCCCACTTCAGAATCATCGACATCATCGTTGTCTGGTGAGAAAATCCAAAAACGAGACTCGTCTCTGTTCCAGCACGGATTTTCTCCCTTCCAAGAGGCTTAGCGTGGTCTAGAATAATCAGAGAGACGAGGCGTTTGATCCAGATTTTTTCAATTGCTTTTTTTAACGGCCTTTTATTTTCGCTGCTGCAAAGTCAAAAGTCTTAGCTTAGGGAGCGGCAGCTGCTTCTGCTCAGGAAAAGATTATCGCGGCGACCGGCTGGGGGTGCTGCTCGGGCAGATCAAGGAGGTGATTTCCTCTTTTTTTTCTCTGGCAGGCAGGCAGGCCGGTTGTCTCTCATTAAGTGCGCACAATTAAAGGGCAAAAGAGATTTCTCGGATGCTGGATGCGTGTGTCGCACAACGACTCGTTTAGTTGGATTAAAACTCTTGTGTAAACGGCGCAAACTTTATTCTCCGGCAAATCAAAAACAGAGCGAGAGAGCTGAAAATAAAGTTTAACTTGCAAAATAAACGCGGCACAAAGGGCGGTTTAATTGACTAAAAAGCTGCTCGAGCTCAAGCGAATCATAATTTATTGCCGCTCCGCGGAGAAAAGTCAGTCAAAGGCGCCGAGAGACACTTTGACAGCCTCTTGTTTACTTTGAGCGTCAAAAGACGACATACCTCCTTTTTCTTCCTCTTAACCCTTTGAATAATTGTCTCGAACTAAAAGGAGGTAAGCAATAATTTCGGAACGAGCGATTCTTGCGGTTTTCTCGAGTTGCGGTTTGAAGAAGGGCGGCTTGATTTGCGGGTTGCGTGCGCCAGTGTGCTCTCATTGTGATCGGTTCATTCATTCATTTAGCGCTGACAGCTACAAACCATTTGTCTGTCAGACGGCTTATCGATCATTGCTCATGTCATAATTACATTTATTTGATGATAGTGCACACACAACACCTCCCGGAGCTGCGATTCACCCCGCCGACGATGAATTAATGCTTTTTGCATCGCACCATTTTCCGCCACCCTTTCAACAAAGGAACAACGCGAATCATCGCGCGCACTGACGTTCACAATTTAATTATAACGCATCTTGGAGCTTTATTTTTTTTCTGGAACGGATGGAAAGAGAATTATTGGAGCTTCAGAAAATTGCTCTATATCTAATTCCTACATGCACGGATAGATAATATGACGGCATTTAATTTTTTTTTTTTTTTAATTTTAAAATGTTTTTATACCATAAATTATTAATCAAATTTATGAAAGGAAACATTAGCGATCTCTTAATTCAGATTTCTTTGATCAATTTGGCACTAGTAACATATATCCTAGCAGATACGTATGTAATTTTTCAAAGAAACTTTAAAATGTATCCCAGATATGTACAAGGTGATAAAATGTATTATAAATGTGTATAAATAACTAGATAAAATTAAATTAAATAAATTATATTTGAAATTAAAAAAGATATATTTATACACGATTGAAATTATAACTAAATTAAGCTATAAAATAAATTTTTAGTTCTATTTTTATATTATTGATGTATATTGCATTAGACTGTACAAAATTTTTAACGCTCTGCATGCTCTGGCTGAAAAAAAATTGCTCACTCCATTATTTTCCTCATTTTCTGGAAAAAAAACCTTGCATAGTCTCTTAGTGCCTAAAATAGCAGTGTGTCAACTCCATTAGCGCAATGAGCGAACTGGCTGAACAAAAAGGACCGCGGCACAAAAGCAGCTTTAAAATTTTTTGTCTCGCCGCGGCCTTTTCACAAAGAGTCGCCAGCTGGCCGGCTTTCTGGTCGTTCGCTCGCTGAATCAAAAGCGCGGGCGGATCGTGTGCAAATATTGTAATAGCAATGCATACACCTTGCCTCGTCGGAAAGCAGCCAGCAGAGCACAAAAGGGCCTCGAAGACAAATAGTCCGAGAGTGTCTGTTATAATTTGTATTAATGGCCCTGCAACGATAAACAACCTTCCGCTGCCCGCGTGCCTTTGGGGAGCTTCCTTGAAGCATTAACTCTAATTTGCATGCGATAAAGCCCGCCGTCGCCGCCGCCACCTCAACCCGCAGAATAATTGTCTGCCGATTGAGAAGCAATTTTGCAAAAAAGTCAGATTTTGTACCAAAATATTTTTAGAATATTAAATTAATTAAAGAATGCCCGGTGATACGTAAATAAGCAAAATTTGCAACTAAATTAAAACACTAAAAATAGTTACGGGCTCATTTACAAATTAATAGAAATTTGTTTCTAGTGAAGATTATTTGAACTATTTTCAAATTTTAATAGTAAATAAGGATCTGCGGAAAAAAAGTGCGAAGCAAAAAGAATCAGCAATTGTGTCGTAGAATTAAGTGTTGAGAAGCTTATTTTCTAGATATTAAAGCGTTTCGCGCAATGCTTTGGCTGTTTTCGCAATATAATTAAATTCAAGGTTCTGCGGAAAATAAATGCGTAGCAAAAAAACTCTGCATTGGTGTTGTAAAATTAATTTTTATATTGGGTTTTTCAAATGATCTTCTTTTATGTAAAGCTATTCCAGTTTTACATTTGCAATAAAACTCCACACTGCTTTGCCGTTTTGTGGCTCATATTGCCCAACCATGAAAAATACCGAAAAATAACCTTAAAATCTTGTTTACAAATTTGCTGCACTTTGAGATTCATGTCAAGAACATCAAACAGAACCCGAATATATGGAAGTTAATTTCTCATCTGAATTTTTTCAAGCACAGATCACAGGTTCAGAAGCAGAGAAATTTCCTATGGCCTTTCGATTATTTTAGCTCTTTAAATAAATTTGCCTGAAAACCAGAAAACATTCCCTACCTTTTGTAGGTGCTCATCATCACGTTCCAAATGGACATTGTGCGGCCCCCCATTTTTGGTTCGCTTCACGTCGTTCCACAACCTCCTGGGAGATCTGCTACTTGTGCTGATCTCCTCCCTCTTCTTATAGTTAGTTGTAGTTAGTCGAGACAACGGCTGGAACAATGAATTGAGAAAGATGCTCAGCAAAATGTAATAAAATTATTTTCAAGCGTTCATATTCTTTAGAGAAGAAATAATGATAAAATTTAAAATTTCCTGAATTTCCAAAAAAAAAAAAAACACCGTTAAAATTAACTTTATTCTTTTGTTCTATGTACTATAGCGTTCAACAGCTAACTTTATGAGCGCACTTTAATACCCTGAGGTAATTGTATCGTGTTATGGTCGAATAAAATTTGATGACATTTGCAGCTAGACTAATAATTATCGCCATGCTGTTGCACATTTTTAATTATCTTGTACTGCTCGGACGTGTTCTGAATACTCTCGGGGACATAGATTTCTTCAGCTAATCTATTTATAATGTTTGTTGTCCAATTTTGCTTTGGTCATAAAATTTTTTAATCATAATTAAAATAATATATTTGGCAATATTAAGAAAATTTATTTGGAAATATGATTGGTTTCAGAAAAAAATAATTTGTCATACGATTTGCAAGATTGATGAGATTTTTTATGAGTTTATTTTTTCATAATATTTAAATAAATGACTTTAAATTTTTGAAAATACTTGATTTGCGCGTATATCTATACACCTTTAAAATATGTTATACAAAATTGGTTCAATCTCTTTCACAAATGTCAGACACAAGTAATATATAAGGAAATTTTTTTTCAAAATATTTTACTTTTTACTCAATAATTTAACTTTTCTTTTGAGATAAATTGTTTAACTATTGTTTGGCGTGACTTTGCGGTAGAAATTATATTGCGACAACCCATTTAATGAATTAAACTTAACCTTTCCATCATGTTTTAATCATTTTTGAATATTTTCATAATGGAACAAATTTACATGAGTGAATAAAGCATTTTGCGAGTGTATAGTTTTGCAAATGAGTTTATGCACTGTGTTGACATTGACAGAAGTGCAGGTTAAACAATGAATGATCAGCATGTGTGTGTGGGCAAACTCATGATTTATTCAGCAAAGTGTCACATTGACCGTTCCAGCGAGGCAGCCTCTTCTGCAAACTCCATTTACGTTTATTTCAAAGGCCATCTCGGTATAACTTGGAGGCTAAATAAAACGCACGTCACTCGCAGCAGAGTGTGTTTGAAAATTTTTTAACGAGTCGCTCTCACCAAGCGGTGCGATTCAATTTGTTTAGCACGCTCGATTGGTGACTCTCGACAGCAGAGATCTACTTTTAATTATAATAAAAGTCAAAACGCCGCCGATTAAACCGGGGGTGAAAATATAAAGGCCGCGCGCTGAAACGCAATTTTCAGTGATCAATCAACTGTCACGCCGGTCGCCACCTCGGCTGCTGCCATAACTCCTGATGACAAACTTGTTAACCAGTTTTGTGCTAAATAAACACCAGCAAGCTCACGCTCAGCTTGACACGCGACTCGGTATGTTAAAATTTGTTCTTCGTCATAATTATTATTTCTGCAAAATAATGCCTCACCTGTGTCGTTCATTTTTCGTGGTCGCTTTTGCAGAACAGGGAAAAATTGATTTTCACTGCAGACGACAACAAAGTTATTATGGCCAGTGAGATGAATTTTTCGCTATTAATATCAACATTATTTTTTTGCTCAACTATGATAACAAATAATTTGCAACGAGAATAAAATTAAGTAACAATTAAAAGATGATTTGAAAATTAAAATTTAAAAACTCAAGGATTGATATAAATATTTATTCTAATCAAACATTTGATTTTAAATTTTATTCAACAATTTGTAGCATTTTAGTGTTTTTCTGCCGCCGAGAATTTGGAATCACTGCATTATGCAATCGCGCCCTTTTTGTTGCGTAAACTGAGGGAAAATGAGGGGGCGGATAATTGTTTACAAAGAGAGAGGTGATGTTGCGATTGAAGTGTGAGTTCCGAAATTTGTCCCACATAATTGAGTTTTTTCGAGAGAGAGAAACAAACTTAGCTATGTCGAGTACCGGAAGAAGTGGCCGTCCTCAATTTGATCAACGTTCCAGCCGCAGCACCAGGTAATTTTCAATATGAACTCTCGATTTTTCTCCTCACCGACTGCGCTCAAATATTTGAAAAGTCCCTCAAATCAGCTGAACGAAGCAAATCTCCATTAGGAAATTGAGAATAATGTCCAGTAATTGTCAAAAAGTTTCTTACCAACCAACCTGACCCCTAGTCAGAGGCTTTCTAGCAGATTTGGTGGTGCTCGCGTGGGCGCTCCGCTCCACCCCCTTGAGACCTTGTCCCGGCCATGCCACGAAAGACTTGGAATGAAACGCAGGCATTCGCCACCCAAGCTGAAGTTCCAAACAAGCGTGGCAAACCTGCGAGTGCGAGTTCAGTACAGCTTGCGCCATACCTTCCAAATTCCCGACGAGCCAGCCAAAATGTTATCGATGATTCGCATACCAGAAGCTATTTGTTTCCACAAAGAGCCTCAGGCTGAGCATTGATCACATGACGGCCAAGCAACCCACTGATCAGAATGCAACCACGGGGCTTGGTAAATAAATAATTTGATTTAAATATTTATAAAAGCAATTGAAAACATGAGAAGTAAAAAAATTAATACTTAATATGTCTGGAACACCACTTACACACGATAAATTATTATTGAGCATCAAATATAAGTCAAAAATGATTTTTTAAAGTTGTATCAATTCGTTTCTTTTTTATTTCAATCTCTTTATTACATTATAATTTTCATGATTTTAGTCAATTAAATGTAAATTTAGTAAGTTTGTTGTTACAACATATTTTAAATAACCCTGCCATTTATTTTTCTTTCAAATCATCATATATTTTTATAAAAAAAAAATAAATAAATAAATAAAAATTATACAAAGGCAAACAAGAATTTTATATCATAAATTCCAAAGAGCTTTTTTCCAAGCTTAACCAAATTTGTAGCCCTCTCTGCTGCTGTTGTATGAATAATAATATGATTTAGATTATTCTGATCATTCATGAAATGTTATATTCCATATTACATTTAAAAATAGTTTAACTATATATTCATTACAACTATGTGGTTCAGTATGTGTTGAATGTTGAATACTAATCATTTTCCAAAAGAAGTCTGGAACACCATTAAGCAGAGAAAATAAAATCTGTTTACCTAGGCCTATGTTTAACCACAGCATAAAAAGAGCATAATATTATAAAATATTCTGTTTACTTTAAACCCAAGCTGAAACGGCAGAGAAAAAAAAGAATAGGGAAAAGAATGCAATGCACGCACTTTCAGGAGAGGATAAAAACGCTGGGTGGAAGTGAGTTAGTGGTCAATTAAAGGGAAGTGCTTTGGAATGCAAACGGAAACAATAATAACGGCGTGCGAAAAAAATGCTTTAATTGGCAGAAAATTTTGTGCTTGCTGAACAAATAGGGCGAAGGAGCAGAAGAAAAGCAAACTGCTGCCGGGGACCGGCCGGATAAATAAACGGGAGCAAAAGTTAAAGTGGTCGTGCCGATGAATAATTTAAACTTGTTTAACCGCGATAAGATTTCTGCTGCAATCAGCAGCAAAACGGCGGCGGCGGCCCGGAAGGGCGCCAGTGCAAATATTACATTATTTTATGGAGCAGAGTAGAGAGAAGCGGAGCTGATCGAAAGTTGGTTGGAAATACGTCGTTTGAATGGAAGTGCCAGTGGCAGGTGACATTCGGCGAATAAACCGGCTGATGCAAGCGAGAGCGTGACTTTGACAGTTGCAGTAATTTGAAAAGTATGTGTAGTGAGCATTGAAAGCTACACACAGAGACTTATTCGTCGCCCTCGCTTTTCTATTTTTATTTTCGGCCCAGCGGCTGCCCGAGAAATTAATTAAATTTGGTGCAATAAAGCCGACTATTTGGCAAGCGACGAGTGCTCGTGTAATTAAAGTTAAGGAAGCAGTAGAAGAAGTTACTGATAATATAAATGTGGGGGAGACGCGCGCGCCTTTACTACTTCTGGCACTCGCCTGGACATTACGCTCAGTGACTTGCCAAGCTGCGCGAGAGAGAGGCAATGAGAGCGACCGTGTGCTTCTCTGCTACACACCCTCTCTCTTTTCATTAAACGGTCACGTCGGTGGAGATGGGGCGCACGAAGAAAAATAGCTCCCTCAATAGAGGCTCTGATTATCAAATGTAAAAAATAGAGACCGTCAGCACTCAATTATAGCCGTTTCTGCCTACCCCTCACTCCCTCTTTGCGTCTGCCCTACCTCCAAAGCAACCCTAACCCTGGGTACGGAGAAATAAAATGCATAGGTGGAAACTGCAATTACGATTCAATTGACGATGGAACGCATCGTTTCCTAGCGAAAGCGGCAATTATATTGCTCACATTCATTTGTTGGAAACGAAGTAAAGAATTTGCCGGAACGACTCTATAGATAATGAGAATAGTTATATGTGATTTTTAACTTCTTATTAATCCAACTACTCGCGAGGAAAAAAGTTTTATAAATTGAACACATATTTTTAAAAACAAAAATGCATTTATTTTAGAATTCATAAATAGTTTAATAAATTATACTAAATTATCAATGTATTGAGATCTGAAAAATGGATACACTTACAATGAAATACAAGGGATTTTTTTGCAACTCGCAACTTCCAACTAATTAAATTAAAATATAATTTTTTTAATGACCAAAACGATCACTAATCATATTTTTAATTTAAACATTCGTAGGCTCATCACTTCTCTACCTCACGGCTTGTGTTTTGAATCGCTCTTACTTTATCTCAAATTTTTAATTTCTATTATTATGCATTTCTTAAGAGAATTATAAAATTTTTAAATTGACTCTTCTTGAATCAATTTAATTAGTATCACGTTCTTAATAATTAATAATGAGTCCATCATGAGCCATAAATTCAATTCGTGTAATCGTTTGGAAAAGTATAATACAAAATGCAAAAGTACAAATGCAAAAATATTTTTTTATCAATATCTGGCAATGACATTAATTTCCGTTCTAATTTATCTGCCAGGAGTAAAAATAAAATACAAAAATTATCGTTCATCATTATCATTGGGGGATATTCACGTTCTAATTTGGTTTTAGTACCAACAATATAGTTCCCAAAAGCTAACTTCGCATGTAAAATAGCACCCATGATTTCAAAAAAGCAATCCTTTTATTTATTAACTAAAAAAAATACTAATATTTTTATCTTTTTAGCGCGATATCTGTTTTTCCGCACATCAAACTGCTGACGTTTTCCAGAATAGTTCAAAATTTTTTGCACGAAGGCGATCTGAATGAAATTTTTCTTCCGCCGAGCATGCACAGCATTCACACATACGAAATCTAGATGGAAGAGATACGATATTGAGTGGCAGGAAGAATGTGCAATTCCTCCGAGTGGCATAAATCAGCGAGTAGTCTTTTTTCGGTAACTTTTTCCTTTTTTTTTTTGGTAGGCGGCGTGCGTGCGATTCGTTAGTCTGGGCGCAACTAGGACGCTGCATGCGCGTCCCAAATGCTAATCACGCTGCTCTGCGGTGAAGATCTTTCGCGGAGGCACGCACAAAATTACATAATCCTTCATGCGAGTCGTAAAATATGGCGTTTGTTATTCAGGCGACTTCATTTTTACTCAATCATCGCGGCTCCCTGAATCTTAAACGAGTTCACGTCCGAGGTCCCGGGGGCCTGCACGCAATTCCAGCCTCAATGGCCCCGCATCAATCACCCTTTCTTTGCAGCTCCCCCTTTTAATTTCACAAAATTCGCGCCAGCTTTTTTCTCGACGCCTTTTTAAGCGCCCGAAGAGACAAATTGGCGCGGCACAGCCGCTTTCCTTGTACGACCAGTGCTTAATCTTTGCTGCAGCCACCCTGTTTTAAAATGAACCTCTAGTTCTCAGTAAAGAGAATTTAATAGAAGATAAGATTTTTTGCAATCATAAAATACAATATAAATGTTGCATCTGCAAAATTGTGTTTCTTTATTGGAACAGAAATAATGACCAAATAAAACTTTGTACCTATCAATACTTTTTTAATGATGATTGCCAAAGACCCTTAAATGAATTATTTCTGATTTATTAGTTTAATATGCATAAATATATAAAATTTACAAAGTAAATAATTAATTCATATTTCAAAAAATTCAAGAATAATATTCTTTTATTATTCATGTTTTTAGATAAATTTTGAATAGTTTATTTCTGATCAACGAATATAAAGAAACTTGAGAAACCTTGATTTAGAAAAAAAAATTCAAGAAGAGCTTTTTCCAAATAAAAAAGGGGGGCTATCTGAACGTTGATACATTTAATATGATTTTTAGTGAAGACAGAAATTTCCAAGCAAAAGTATGTTAATAAAATTAACAAATTTTAATTCTAAATTCTTTTCTTTTTAACTTTAAATTTTGTGAAACCTGTTTTTTTTTTCATTAATAATACAGACGCAAACTTAAGAATTGAAAAGAATCAGGAAGTTTTTTATGCAATTTGAATTTAAGATGATTTACTAGTTTTTTAATAGCTGCTCTTATGTATTCCTTTCCTTCCGCCAATAATCTAATTACAGAGCCTAATAGACACCATCAGTTTATTGAGACTATCAGCGACACCCGCCGCCGTAAATTCGTTTAGCCACACTGCTCTTGTCGCTTGTTCCCCTTTCCGAGAGCCCACTCCATAGTCTCGATCGCTGCTCTCACCACCACCGCAGATTCAACTTTGCGGCCGTCAAGTAAAAATCGCAGCTCGTAAATCGACAGATCCTGTCGTCGGTCGTAAAAAAAGTACAAATTTCAAGTCAAATTTTGTGCTTTTCGACGGAGAGGGCCGGGTTTGTATAATAATTCGCGTTAAACAGAGAGAAGAGCAGCAATCGGTGTGCAGTCGCTCCACTCTCTCGGATTTTCAAAGCTTTTGTCAACACCCGCCGAGGAAATGAGGCATCAAAATTCATAGAGTGCGTAAAGAGAGATAGCACGGCGGCTTAGAACGTGCTTTATCGCTCGCAGCCGCGCACAGCGGGCGAAAGACGTACGCTGCTGACACAATGACACTCATCAATATTATGTAAATAATTTTAAACGCTTTTAATTACACGGCGCCAAGAGTAAATCGGCTTTCGAAGAGAGAGACGGAGCATTCAATCTGGGCGCGCCACACGCAGACATGCTTGGCAAATTGCGCTCAAACTTTGTGCAAATTAATTGAGTAAAAGTATGCGGATGTAGCGGGATTAGAGTTTTGCCAATGTGTGTTTCTCATTAATTAATCAGCGCATCTCCTTACACACCACTGATTTGCAATAAGTGGTGATCCAGTTTTACGACGGATGCCAAGAACACTCACAATTTTCTAGAGTATAGGCTTTGTCTTCATTAAAAACTAATCAGCGAGAAGCGATTACTTCAGTGCTTGGTATGATTAAATGGTAATTACTTAAAATCAAGATAGAGACACAGTTTTTCCTGGTTTATTACACATTATTTTTGTATAATATTGTGTTGATTCTAAAGATGATCAAATATTTAAAAATGAATTTGTTCTATTGATTTCTGTAGTAAAATTACAAAATCATCGGCTTTTCATGCGTATGCTTTTGACTAAGTAAAATAATTTAATCCATTATTTTGGTCACCGCATCCAACCTATGTGTTCATGTATGTGTAGTAAAAAATTAGTATATTATTAAAAAAAACTGCATTTTAATTTTAATATAACGGATGAAAATTATTTTAATTTACAATTTAATTTGCAGCCACACTTTATATTATACAGAAAAATATATAAATTACTCTTCAATTTACACAATATAGGAATTACCCGTTGTAACAAAAAACTAATAACTATATATAAATACTCAAAGCAGCCTTACCAAAGCTCACAGATTTTTCAAAGTAAACAATAAAATTGTTTAAGTAAATATTGTCCAGTACCATATTTATTCAGCATGAAGAGCTTTAAAAGCGATGCAAATTAAATAAAAATCTATGACGTTGAGACAATTTGGCAAATTTAATTTGACTTTTGGGAATGAAGTAATAAAAAAATATACTGGAAAAGACTCAACAGTAGCGTGAGTTGTTAAAATATTTTTAGAAAACAGTATTACCTGGACATGCGATAATATGAATAGGAAACCATAAATGAATTTTTATTTAAAAATATAATTTTAAAATATATCATGAACATAAATTTGCTATTTGTTTTCACGGTATGATTCCCCTGCATGCATTGCTTGCAATTCCTCTGCTTCTCGGCCGATGACGGTTTTTCCCATTTGATGGTAGCATGAGAGCACAGCGCAATAGTGGTACACAAAGAATACTAAAATCAAAAGCAAAGTGAGACTGGGCGTTCAATAATTAGAAAATCACTTACCAACGAGACATGTAATAGTGGCATAGAAAATTGTTACCACCTGGGCACCTCCAAGGGTGTGTAAAGCAGGAGTGAAGATGGAATAAACATAGAAATTCCCTAAAACTTCCACGATGCCGTATATGAGCCAGGGCAGGATAAGCACTCTGCATTTTTTCTGTGAAGAGAGTTGTAGTGAAAAGTTTTAAATTTTTATTCTGGAAGTGTCTACCTTGAGGACAGCTATTGACATTAATATATCAACCAATATCTTTATCGATCCATGGATGAACATATCATATCCAAGATTTGGCATTTCAGCCTCCTCGTCGTTGCTAAAGCCTTAAAAATTAGCAGATAAGAAAAAATATCCGTCAAGAAAAATTAAATATTTATCAATTACATTTTATGATTTTGGCCTTTATTTCAGGATTGTTCTGGTCTATAATTATAAGCATAGCTGTCGCCATCATCAAAGGAATGCCTATAATCTGGAAACAATTCAAATTAAGTAAAAATTTACGTTATTAAGCTTTGTTATATTACTTTTTTATTAAATAACTTTTTAACGATTTGTAAATATTGTAAAAATAATTATATCACTTCATGTTAAAGGAACAATAATTATAAATCGCAAATCTTGTTATGTTCAACATTTAGGTAAATCAATTTTCTGAACAAAGTAAGAGTAGAGATGACTCTTGGTGCTCGTAATGCTAAATTTTTTGGTAATGATTAAATTGATTTTTCTCGTGCATTCAAAAATTTGCATAGAGCAGGGCGTAATATGCTGCTCTGTTGTGTTTGTGCATGCTTATATTTCAAATTTTTTCACCAGATCATAAACGGCCTGCATGACTGCTACATGACGATCCTCAAGTATAAAGTAATACTTCCTTGGAAATCTCATTTTTCAAAAGTTGATATGCTCTGTGTTAGCAGAAATCTTGAACTTTTAGTAATAATGCAAAGTTTCGTGACGCTTCTCTCTCTCGTGCTTTGATGTGTCGCCGCGCCCATCTAAATATGGTAGGGGCCAGCATGCGGTGCCACGACTCCGCATTAGATCGCCACTGCTTGTCCGAATTTTCAATAATGTGAAACACAGTGCGCCGGCAGAACAACATAATATTATTTAAAATAATCATTTTGTAATAAAAACTGTGAAACTTTTTATTATAAGACTATTGGCAATTATAATATTGATCATAATAAGTAAATTAAATTATATTAATAACAAATTAAGCGGCAAGTCAGGCATGCTGGTTTTTCTCAAATAGTTTTATAATCAACAAATTTTTAGATTTTTAATTTGCTTTAAGCACTTCTCAAAAGCGTAGCAAATGCTTTTTAACTGATTGGTGCATTCCAGTAAAAAAGATCAAAGTGCATAAGTATTTTTTTATATAATAGTAATCAAACTGTTCAGTAAAATAAAAAGCTTGTTTTTTTTTCAATTCATTCGGGTTCTCTGGATGACGTCATGGTTGTTTTGGACAAGGCTCCTCTCCTCTCTCCTCAATTATAATGATAGTTTTGGCTCCCGGGAGCTATCTAGATACGGACGATAGAGTTGAAAACCACAGTTTTATGCTCCATCTACCGGACACCTATGGACCGTAAATAATATAATTTATTCCATTACAATTGGCTGTGATTTCAATGAGAGAAACGCCAATTGATTTAACATTATGGATGTCATTTATCGACTTTTGTATTTCTGAAGTTAAATTATAATGAATTGAGCTAATCAAATATTTTTACCCTGGACATAGTTATAACTCAAATTCAATATTAAAAAATACAATTAAGTTTATTTTTTATCTTGGTAAATATAGGATTAGCTTGGATTATCAGTTAAATATAAGTAAGAAAAATATAAAAACTATGATGTATGTACTATGCTATTCAAATGTATTTTATTAGCGTGTATTAGAAGTTGGTGCCGCGGATGGGAAGTTAAAGTTAAATTATTGACAGTGGTGGTGCTATTTTGTCCAAATAATCAATTAACCCATCCCAAAAATCTAATATATCGCAATATTAGCGTTTTGTAACAAATTGGGACGTGAAATTATAAAAAAGTTTAATTCTTTTTTAAACTTTTGTCTCATTATTAAAAAAAAAAAAATGCTGGTAATTTCTGCCTCCGGTGTGATTTTCGCCTTTACTGCGTCGCCGTAAAAAGTTTGCAGAAAATTTATATCTCGTAAAAGCACTTTTCCATTTCGGTTCGCTCTCGGTACTGCTCTCGGGAAAAAAAGAGCAGAGGGAGGAAAAATCTGAACGTGCGTCGCCGATTTATGGTGGGTAACAAGCTAATCAGCGGCAGTTGTTGACCAGTTTGGTTCGGGGTGCAACTAACTTGAATGGGCGCCGCTGATTGAAAAGCATCAGCAGCCAGAGCGTCGTCTTGTATTTATTGGACGCACACATGCTTCCCTAACCGTCCCAAAACTTTTCCTGCCACCCGTCCGCACTCTCGCAAGTGACACGCGCTCGACCTCCCTTCAGCACCCCCTGACCATACCACTCCACTGCTAGGGCACCCGTTTCCATTATTTCATTTGCACGAAATATGTATGTGTGTTTTTGACGATAGATTTTCTTGATTGTTTCTGAGAGCAATTGCAAAAACCTGAATGAAAAATACACACATATTAAATATATTAAAAATTCGTTGCAAATAAATGTATCCACAATTTTTTTTTATTCCGTACATTTACAACAACTGCTGTTCATTTGTCCGCATTGATTCAATCAAATTTTTACATTAAATTATTTAGTTTTTTTTTTAAACATATAATATTCCTCTTTTTAGGAATTTCAATCTTCAACTTAACAAACATAAAAGTCTGAACTTCTTTGATAAAATAATATATAATATAAATTCAAGTCATTTTTAATATCAACACTCTGAACTTCTGAACACTAAACCAGAAAAAACATTGCATTTTGTTAAAAAAAAAAAAAAAGTTATTACAATATCTAATTTTAAAATAATAATAAAAATTTCAAAAAAAGTACTTAACTACAGCCTTTTTTTATAAAAAAAATAAAACGTAATGAAAAATCCTATCACGTTAGATCTGCATCCTATAGCGAAATCAACTTCAATTTGAGCTATTCTCTCGATCGCATCCAAAATAACCTTTCAGGTCAAACTAAGAGATATGGTAGAGTGCATAGCTATAACATAACACATAAATAAATAATTCCGGCAGGGATTTTGCACGTTTCTGACCGACCGACCGACTAGCGGAGAGCGAATCAAAGAGCAGGGGCGGCTTTCCGGAATATTTATTAAAGAGAAGGATTTTCGGTCAGCAAGTGTGTTGCTTTTGATTTGGACGACGGTGCATCGCGGAAATGGATTCGAAAATAACGACTGACTTCTCTTTTCGTCGTTGTCACGCATTTCATTGTTTGGTGACAAGAGTAGTTATAGCGCGTGGCGTTTTCGTGCAAGGCGAAGCAGACGTCCCATGTTGTGCGCCTCCAATATGGGCCACTTGGAATTCACAACACACACCCCGGCCGAAATAAAAGATCAAGAGACAAGTGGTGCGGCGGTGGCGGCTCGGTTCGCACACGCGGGACAGACGCAAAATATATTTGCTTCAATAAATATACCCGCGACTTTTGAACGGAATTAGGCGTCGAGGGCAAAGAAAGAGAAAGGGTGCAACCTTTTCAGCGAAGGAAAAACGAAAGGGACGTGCTGGAATACTGAATTTGGATGTGGCAGGAATTCCAGTGAAGGGAAGAAGAAGAAAGGTTCACCCCATTTTTATTTGCTGTGTTGTGCTCACTTCCCCATTATTAATAATATTATATTTCATGGCACCATAACTTTTAAACTCTTCATCACTAAAAACATTTAATTTTTAAGAGTTGCATGAATTTGAATTTTGAAAATGAAAAAATGACTTCATGAGTGTCAAAAGAAATAGGTTTAATTTTCTTACTTGATTGTATATGTTATTATTGGAAAAATAATAAATTTAATAATTGCACCTTTGAGCACTTGGCTTTCATAAGAAAAAGAATTTAAATCACAAAAACGATAAATTTCTTCAATATTTCCGAAAAAAAAACGATGAAGAAAAAATCTATAAATCAGGCTCCAAAAATAATTTATACTTTATTGTAGCATGTTTCTAAAGTTTGAGTCATTACAATCATACATCCAGTTTTATTTTAATTAAATTTAAGTGTTTCCAGGAAATTGTAGATATTCAAAATATGTACTACTTTGGAGAATTTTTCCAACTCTTTTTGAAGACGCGCACTTTAGGACAACATCATTTTCTAATTAGAAAGCAAAGCTAACATTTTTTGTATATCACTGACAGCGGCGGAACGAAAGTCTCTCCTTCCTTCAGCAGCAGTGCAAACTTTTCGCGGCGGCCAAACTTTTTCGCGACTGATTAATTTTTCAATTTATTTACACGAACAACTTTTTTAATTTGCAGACTCGCGTCTACAAATACGCAGGAAGAGAGTGGATATTATTATTGTGTGTACATTATAAATTATAATATACCGGAGACGACAAGTCCTAAAATAGCGAATGCGAAATTGAAATACGGAGCGTCGGAAAAAGTTAAAAGAAAACGGTAAAGGAGAAAAAGTGCACGTTGAAATTATCATTTTCTCTGAGCCTGGGGAAAAAGTCAAATATTTGATCTGCCGTAATTAATGAGGTTCGCCGCCTCATTGGGAAGTTTTTGTGTGACTTGCAAAAATGAGACGACGTCATGACGGAAAAATTCTAATTAAAAAAAAAATCAAATAAATAATAAACCCCGTCGTTATAGGTCCCGATCTGGAACACTCGAGTATAATTGGATTTTCACAAGAATCGTCAAGGAAGCAAACGATCTAAAAAAGAAAGAAGACTCCGTCAGGTCTCTCAATATCTTTCTAATTATTATATACCTCCAGTGCTTTTAATTTGCGATTTTTGAGTGGAGTGCTTCTGCGCATTGTGACTTTGTGTGCGAGTGCAGTAGTACTTAACACGCTCTACAAAGTATTACGCCCGAGAGGTAATTCGAGAGGCGCACCATAATGATGTCCTGTTTTGTTATTAAGTCGAGTGTCTCCTTCTGTGTGTTCTTATTTTTTTTTTAATGAGCTCCTCTTTTATTTCCCTCTGCCAAAACCAAACCTCCCGCGTTCCTTTCAGCACCCATTTGAATTTGAATCATCTGCACCGTGTAATTGCTTGCGGATGAGAAAATTGTGTCGTGTGTTTTACAATGTGAAGCCAGAGTTCAAACTCGACCTGCAATCGCATATGTATCAAAATTGTTGGCACAAGTTCCTTTTCAAAGAAGAAGACACATGTCTATTTACGATACAAAGTAAAATATAATTATTTTCGATTATTTTTATGTTAAATTTAAGAATATTATAGAAAATTAAATATTTTTTAGAATTTATCAGAATGGGATTTTCAAGATGGACATTTTTAAATTTTTTGTGAAATAAAATACACCTTCCTCAGTGAAATCATTTCTCCATGATAAATTAATTGCCTGCTCTAATTCATTAGCTGTTGAATATTAAAAAAAAAAATATTTTATGTTAAATACCAAAAATTATTTGGCAGATTTTTCACTTTTTTATAAATAATAAAATCAAATAAATAAGTGTATCAGTTCTCACAATCAGACCGTGATCAAAACTGGTAGAGCCGTTTTGTCTCTCTGTAAAAAATTACCTGTTACTTTTCTATTTTTGATTCATTATTTAGATTATCTTTGTCGCAAGTAAAAGGTGCACATAGCAGAACTGCAAGCTTTCGGAAGTGCACTTATTTGGTTTTACGACAGTCTGGATCTAGTTGATGTTGTTCGCGAGGATTGAGTAAAAACGGGGGTGATCTCCGGCTGATGGAAATTGGAACTGCCGGTGAAGGACGAAATAGCGATTCGCCGTGTCGTCTGAAGTTTTATTGCCAACTCGCTATTCATTTCATATAAAAGTCAAATATAACAAG